TTTGTGGAAGTAAAACCCTGAGGAGTTTTGTGCATGGTCAAGTTGGCTGAGATTAAAATAAATTCAACTAAATGGGTGAGTTTCAATATCAAAAGTAAGCTGGTGCGAAATTAGAATTTGGCCTTCTCTCTTAAGATAATTCTCTTGAACTTTTGGTCTGCTCTTGATAAAGAGGTTATGAAAGGTTTTTCTTTACCTTTGAATAAATTTACCTAAAAGACAGAATATCTATGTTTTGTTAAAATAATTTCCTATATTCAAAAAGACTGAGGTCTCTCTATTAAGGTTTTTTTACTGTTTCTGTTGTCACCTTGATTGAATGGATAACTAAGTATTGTTCCCAATTTGGCCAAGTGTCTTGAAAACCTTTTGAAGGGGCCGGCCCCATGGTCTAGTGGTTAAGTTCAGCACACTCCGCTTTGGCAGCCCAGGTTCAGTTCCCTGGAGTGGACCTACACCACTTGTCAGCAGCCATGCTACGGCAGTGAGCTACATACAAAATAGAGGAAGATTGGCACAGATGTTAGCTCAGGTTGAATCTTCCTTAAGCAAAAAGAGGAAGATTGGCAACAGATGTTATCTTAGCACAAATCTTCCTCAGCAAGAAAAAAAGCCTTTTGATATTTTTGACAAACTTCCCCTAAAATTAAAGTCTTTCTTTTGACTTAAAAAGGAAACTTTGAGAATTTTCAATCAGCCCCAGAAGTTATCAAAAAATAATTAGTTCTTTCTATGAAGAGAAAGATATTAAACTAATTAGACTTATTTGGTAAGTTAAATTACATGGGAAACATTAAATTAGTGATGATAAAAATTCCTAGGTTATATTGTGTGGGTAAATGCTACTAATATAAGGGTTTTTTTTTAAATTATATAACATTTCAAAAATTCTGATCTGTCCTGGTTTTCAGTCATAGTTCTAGTTATTATCTCAAAGTGTTGTATGTCACAGAAATAGCCAAGCGTCTTTCTCAATTGCCATTTTTGAGTATTTCACTATTTGCAAACAGTTGTTCTACTCTGATGTTTTTGCAAATATGTTTCATCTTCAAAGAGATTCAAGGAAAGGACTCTGACATTCTAAAATACAGATTTTTGATAAACTTTCAGATTATGAAACTGAGCTGGGTAAGAAATTACAGAACTCTAGTGGAGAAACTGATGGTCTCATAAAACTGCTAACAAAAGATCAAAAAGTGATTACATGGGACTAAACAAATTGATGAGGATGATTATAATTTTTATGACTTTTTATGTGAAATATTGCTGATTTTTTAATGTCTTGTTTTTCCAGATTTAAGGAAAATTTTTCTCTTTTCTTTTAGGGAACTATGACTTTTAGCAATTTATAAGCAGAATTGAAGTATTTATCTTTTTCTCCCTATCTGATCCCTCCAGAATCTGAAAACTCTTGATGATTGAGTATTCTTATAGTCATGGCAATAGTTATTTGCATATATTCAATAAGAATCTGTTCTCCTTATAGCAGGACTCAACTGAAAACACTAGTTACATTACCAAGGCTTTGACTGCAATGTCATATTTGAAAACAACATGCATAAACTCAGATATGACCTAACAGCTTTGAGGAACAAGGATTGACTTTATGGAACAAATAAAGCCACCTGGAAATATTGGCCTAGTACCTTGCTTACACGGTTCCCATCAACCTTACAAGGTGAGTAAACAAGATCACTTCCCTGACAGGTGCAAGAACCTCAGGATATGTTGTGGACCTCAAGAAGGGAGGAGTTCACCCAAATCTGTAGGTATTGCAGGTGGACTCTGATGATAAGTCCTTGACATGGCTTTCCTTGCCTCAGGAGTCCTTTAAAGTTCAATCTGAGATTCCTTATAAAAAGTTCCTGCAAAGTAGACTTAGAAGAGCCTATATGATCAATTGCTATTCTTGCTGCACTTATGTAAATAATTGGGTCAAGTTTATTATAACTAGACTTATTTTGCAAACAAATGAGTCTTCATTTGATTATCTTTTGTAAAAATGAGGGTGATTTTAGAGAGAAAAATTATATTTCAACAGAAACTATAATACACATTTGTGGATATTAGATTCTAGTTCTGTTAATTGTCCTTGAGGTTTTTGTTTTCTATCTGTAAACTGAACTGGATCCTGAATTCCTCCAGTCTCCTCAAATATCAGGTACAGATCTGCAAATTAATGTTTTCAATTTTTTCTGTCCTTTTCATTTGGAAACATTGAGAACTAAAACCACCCTTTTTCCTGAAGCCCTGAAAACTGAAGCTGGACGACTTGATATCAACTTAAGAGAGTGCACCATGATAGCCCATGTTTGGACAATCCTCATGCCTGTTGCTGTGTAAACTGCTCAAAAGGTTTACCTGAATCCCTGATGATATCATCAGAGACATTTCAAACTGCACGGGATGCATCACTCCTGACATCTAGAGATCTTTTTGACTGACTGTACCCTGGGCTCAGAAATTGATTTATAATTTGCTCCAACCGTTAACCTTGTTTTTCTTTTTGTTCTTGTGGAAACGCTTCTTATTAAGTACCTGGTTACTTACACAATATAGACCTAACTTTGGGAGACCCTTCCTGTGTTCTAGAGACGATCCGAAAGACCTAGAAGGAACTTGAACTAAGGAACTAGGCACTGTCAGATGTTCCTCTGTACCATCTTTGTCATGGAGACCGGGTCCAATGAAAACCCTGGAAGCACAAGATGGGAACATACAAGAAATGCCATAGGGAACATGAACCATTCTGTAGAGATTACCTAAACTTTGGGTGGCTTCATACTCTAGACACTGACCTCTCTGGTCAAGTGAATCTCTGACAGACCACCAGTTGCTGTCAGAAGACGGTCTCCTAAAGATAAGTAATAAATGACTCCCAGGTTCTTACCTTATTTGTTGCACAATTAGACAGCAGTCTCCTTGGCTACATCACATTTCACCTGAGGTTCTAGACACTAAGCTTGATTGGTTTACAGTCCTCTTCTCCTGGATTCCCTGAGGATTAAGGTCCATTTTGGAGAGGAGACTACAATTTGGACTGTCTATTTTGCTAATATTGTGGTCATCTATGTAATTATAAAATGTGGACTTAAATGTTGGTCCAAAGCCATTGATCAGACTACTAAAATATTAGTCATGCAAAGCATATCTTGCTCTCCCCACTTGGTACCCAAAAATATTTTAAAATAAAGGTAGAACAGTTTAATTCCTCTGACCCTGATCTTTGCCCTTTCACAGCAGGAAGTAGCTAGACCAGTCTTCACCCTATTCCCCAAGATTGAGGAATGATCATAAGAGAGTGGGGATTGAAACTGAGAATAAAGAAGTTGAAAAAACTTTCCTGGGCTAAAAGAAGAGGAAAAAAAAATTTGAGAGAAGCTTTGCTAACTTCAGCTGTGCATACTTAGCATAATCAACTGTTGCTCAAAACTAACCAGGTTTTTCTATCCCTCTGTTGTATATGAGTGAGCTGTCTTTCCCAGGAAGTCAAGGTCCAGACATCAAGATTCAGCCTCACAAGGCCAATTGCAGGCTGAAGATAAATACTAAATAGAAAAGGCCAGACAGTCAAGGGAAAAGAAATTCAGTCTTCAAAGCCAAAAGCAGGCTCGTGGGAAGGCACCAACCAGCAAGGCCACATACTGCCCCTCCCCTAACTAAAACTCCAGGACATGTTATCCTTCTCCTACCTAAAACCACATAAAAAAAACCCTACCTTTTTCCCTTCAAGGAGGAGGATCTGAGTTTTAACTCCCATCTCCTCGTCTGGCTGTCTTTCAATGTTAAACCTCTGCTTGCCACAAGCCTGGTGTTCTAGTTATTGGCCCTCCTTATGCGGTGGATAAAACAACCTGTGTTAGTGTTCAGTAGCAGTCTGGTACCCTTTCTCTCCTATAGAGTGGTCCAAATAAAATTTAAGAACAGTTTATAATCCACATAACTAATTGGAACAGAAGACAGAGCCCGCTTCCCAGAACATTTCTGATCAGCTTCACAGAGTGAGAAGAAACTTCTGCACCTTGTTTTCTTATGGCTTAAGTACTTCCTAATTGAGCACAGACCCCTTTGTCTTGCAGGAAAAAGAAGAGACCCCCAGGCTGGCAATTGGCAAGTTTCCAGAGAGGGTGAAGCCATCTGACGCCCCTGGTAGTGGGGAGAGTGGGAGACCAAGCGCCGGGCTCCCTGAGTGCAGTAGCCAAGCACACACAGCTGTCATCTGAAATGCCATTTGATGCCACCTCTAGAGATTCCAAATAAGCCAAAGGATTCCTCAGAAAGGAAGCTGGATTGATGGTGTTCCTGATACTGGGAAATTAAAAACAAAACCAAAAAAACACCCCACAAAGGTATTGAACATAAACACATTTTATAGGGGCCGGCCCTGTGGTGGAGTGGTTAAGTGTGCGCGCTCCACTGTTGGCGGCCCAGGTTTGGATCCCGGGCACGCACTGATGCACCGCTTGTTAGGCCATGCTGTGGCGGCATCCCATGTAAAATAGAGAAAGATCAGCATGGATGTTAGCTCAGGGCCAGTCTTCCTCAGCAAAAAGAGGAGGATCAGCATGGGTGTTAGCTCAAGGCTGATCTTCCTCACACACACACACACAAAAAGCATTTTATAAAGTATTTCAAAGGTTTATCATCTTCCACTGTGGACATCTACAAATATTTGTTGGGGGAGTTTTACTCCTTATGACAGGAGAATATCCATGAAGACTTAAAACACGCCACCAGATGGGTGCTCAAAAGAGCCTGTGGAAAATTCCAGTAGAGAGTTCTCAAGATGCAGTCCAGGGATCAGCAGGGGATCTTTGTTTCATCGTCTCTCAGATCACAGTCTCCACTGCACACCCCACCGCCCCCTTTCACAAACAGGAAATGACCCTGAAAGAAGGCTCAGTAGTTGGGGGTTAAATGCAGCAAGCCCCCAACCTTGACATGAAGGGATATGGGAGAGTCAACATAACACCCACAAGATGCAGAGAGTTTCTCTTCTTGTGGTTTCCTTTTTCCACCATTTTGAGTATTTCTGCATTCTAAAAAGTTATGCTGGAAGGCGGCTGATCAGTTAACACCATCTGTTTTCAGCTAAAGGTCTTCAGCTTTAAAGTTCTGAAAACTTTCATCTGGTTAAAGAGACACCACATGGACCATGTACAGCAGAGCAGCTATGCATGAAAATACCTAAAACCAAGATAAATGACCATTAATGGGCATGCATGGGGAGACGGCAAGGCATGGGCTGTCCATGCTAGGCTGGCTGCTTGGATGGTGGGCTCGAGGATGACAGACCTGAAGTGTGTGGACCACCACTTCCCAACACTCAGGCAGATATCCTCTCTTGCTGAGCACAGATATGGCCCCAGAATGCTGGTGGCACAGAGCTCCAGGTGACCTAACGATCCACTGGATGTGGCGTGCAAGGTCCACTATCTGCCACCTCACATCATCATGTTGGTGCCACCCAACTGGAAACAGGGGCCCTCAGAGGCCCCTCAAATGATACTCACAGGAGAGTATCAACTGCTCTCCATGGGAAAACTGCTTCCTCCACACCAGAAAGACCAGAGTCCACCAGCTGTGATCCCAGCGGCCTCAGTGAGGAGAATATGAACACACGGGTTTGCTGGCTCTGGTTAAGGTCTCCAGGCTGCCTGGACATCCTCAGACCCCTTTCAGGAGTTTTGTTCTAAGATTCTTAATTTCACAGGCATGGGCAAGGGAGCCAGGCTCACAGGACTGAGGGACAGGGACGGGGAGGAGGATTTTGAGCTTTTGCAGAAAGGAGCGTGCTGACTGAGAAAGCTACTGGGAAGATCCAGTCAGCCATTTTGGGGGCTGGGAACAAATGCCCTGGAAATGTGGCAAATGGTCACTTTGTGCCTGTCAAGCCCCTGACGTGCTGTGTCACGTGGGCACCATCTATTCCTAAAGGCTTATCCGCCCCCAAGTCCAATATCTGCACCTGGTTCTGTGACCTTGGGCGTAGGGTCAAGAGTTTCCAGCCCAGGCACAGCATTTAGGGGCTACCCTCTGTGACTCTTGAAAATGCCCATAAACACCAGCCGTCCCCAAGCCTGTTCTCTCCCTGCCCCACACAGAGGTGAACCTTTCAGCCTCATTGGCCAGAGGCGATGAGTAAGCCCAGTTATTTAATAACAAATTTAAGAGAACTCATCCGGGAACTCTGAAGGACCCTGGCTGAAAGGAGCAGTCACGCATGTGTGAGCAGCCCCCCGAAAAACACCTCTCCCCGTCAGGTGGGAGAAGTTTACTGTCTGAGCTGTTCCAGATCCCCTGAGAACCCTGGGCAGAAGCGCCTCAGAAGTCCCCACAAGAACAGGAAACAGGCTTATTTTCCGAGTGAGGGCAAGAAATGGCACCTTGGGGACATTGATAGCCAGGGACATAAAGGGACGCAGGAACCCCTCTCCCTAAACTGCTGCCCTTATTGCCCACCCCTGTTAAATCCAGAAACCTCCAGATTTCTGCAGAAATTTCCAGCTACCCTCAGTCAGCTCCCACCAATCCCAGGGGTCCCTTCAGTGCAGAGACTGTGCTGCCAGCAAAGGAGGGGGAAGCTCAGCTTTTGAGGCAGGTCCCCATCAGGAACCACAGAGGGCGAGAGGCAGGCCAGACGCTTCCAAAGGCCAGGGGTGTATGGGAGAAGGTCTTGAGACGCCTCCCACACCCTGGACTGGCCATCCCCAAGACCACGGGAAGGGCATGTGATGGTTGGGCGGGGTCTGGGGTTAATTCCTGAGTAATCATGACTCCTCCTCCCCTGTGCACTGATACAATTGATATTCTGAATAGAAAGGCGAGACTTCACAGTGAACCGGGCTCATATTTCTCCTTGGTGGTTTCAGCCCAGTGCCCCTGCCTGCCGAAAACATCATGATGCTTGATTCTGGCACTCCCGACTGTGCCTGGGCATGGTCATGTTTCTCCAACTCAACTAAAAAACAGTGGGGACACGATCAATGGTGGACTGGATAAAGAGACGCTGGTGTAGTCATGAATGGAATACTCCACAGCAAGGAGAATAAACATTCTACATCTCCACCCAACAGTGGGGCTGAGCCTCACACACCTACAGTGGAGAGAAAGAAGCCAGACATAAAAGAATACATAATGTGTAATTCCATTTACATGAGGTTCAAAAGCAGGCAAAATTAAACAAAGCAGCTGGAAATCAGGACGGTGGTTCTCCTTGGTGTGGGTGCACAGTGATGGGGGCAGGACAAGAAGGGGATTTCTGGAAGCTTCTTATGATGTTCTATTTCTTAATCCGGATGCTTGTTACACAGAGGAGTTCACTTTATGGAAACTCATCAAGCTGTGCACTTGCATCCTGCTCACTTCTCTGGATGTGTGTTGCAGTTCGATAAAAATAAAAGTTCGAGAAAAAGTAAAAAAAAAAGTAAAAAACCCATGGTAGAACCCAGGGGTTCTCAGTGAGAGATCTGTCCAGTGGGCAGGGCCATTAATTCACCCCATCTGGATTGTTCCATCAAGTGCTGACCCACTAGCGACATTCCATCTACATTTCATTACTGTTGTCTGAAATAATTTTATGGAAGTTGTTGTCAAATGCCTTGCTGATGTCTGTTTGGAGAGACGGCTTCTGGGGTTGGGATAGGGGAAGGCATAAGTCTTTCTAGGTGAGGGGGACATGAAACAGAGTCATTTGAAGGATGATGGAGGAGGCGGACTACCAGCCTCCCAAGGGAAGAGAGAGCAACCTAGGGGCTGCCTGGCTGTGCTACTGCTTAGAAACCAGCCATCATGGGAGATGAGCCAATACGGGGGACATTCCCACCTTGTGGGACATTTGAGCTTGTGCAGGGACCATGAGGTGGCCGTGTTGATAGACATGGGGAGTAGGGTGGGAGCATAAAAGCAGCATGTCACTTCCCCGGGGCAGAGGACGGGCCCACAGGGACCAGCAGACAAGGCTTTGAGGAAAATTCCCCCAGAGCCAAACAGTGCCTGCCCTGTGGGTTTTCTCTTGGCCTCGGCTCTGTCCTTTCCAAAATGGGGGGACGGCACAGCTTTGGGACCTGGAGCTGCCATCTTGTGATCTGTCATTACGTTTGACCTCGGGATTTCCACAATTCCTAGGTTGACCTCTAGAAATCTGAGAAGCGCTATTTCTGAAACTTTTTCTTATTTCTTAAACAACACCCTTGGCTAGAAATACATTTGACATGGTGAGTTAGCATACTGGTGCAAGCCCACCCATGCACAGCTCTGGAAAAAAGTTTTATGGAACAATACATTCCTTTATCCTGTCATTCTGACCCATTCCATTAAAAAGAAAATCCAGGTCATGACATTACAAGACCTCAGCCATCAATGGGTCTGACCTCGCAGTTGAAGCATGTTCCTTTTAGAGTTCGGAGACCTGCACCCAGTGTGCCCCCCAGTGACACACAGTTGGCACCCCCATTTGTTCTGCTGATGGGGTGAATGAGGTTCAAGCCCCTGTTCCACCCGGTGCTGCCTGTGAGACCTCGGGAGGAAGCTGTTTAATATCTCTGCAGTCCTCGAGGGAAATGGGCAAGAATTACCGTCTCATTTCATAGATGAGCAAGCCGAGGCCCAGAGAGCACCAGGGACCTGCACAGGGAATTAGTGGAGACGTGACCTCCGGCCCCTCCTCCTCCCACAGGTTCTCAGTGCTGTGGGGCAGGAGACACCGTCATGAAGAGCTGAGGGCCTGATCACAGCAGCAAACACCCACAGCTGGGGGTCTGGACTCGCTGGGCCCAGAAGGGCCTCCCCACAGCCCCAGCCCCAGAACCAGGGCCTGGGGAGACACTGGTCACTCGATTTTCCATCCCAGGCCTCAGTGCTCCCTGCCTGACTGTGTGCTTCCACGGAAGACCACTCAGGGAGAGCCAGGAGACCCAAGTGGGCAGACTCACTGCTCCAAACTGGTGCTGAGTGTGGGTGACAGAGCACCTGGCCTGCACACCAGCCCCACCAATTCCTGGTGATCAGGAGCAGGTTATCCATGCTCTTGGTGCCCTTGCTCTCTATCTGTGAAATGGGAATGATAACAGCACCTACCTCCCAGGGCTGTTATGAGGGTTCAATACGATTGTTCACGGAGAGCTCAGACAGTGCCGGGCACTCAGCGCTCATGTCTCCTCACACATCTGCCCTCCGCAAAGCCCACCCAGACACGGACCCCCGGGCCAGCCCAGGCCTGGGCAGGGCAGTACTGACCAAATAATGAAGGCAGTCTTGGGCACTTCCCTTCCCTTCTCTGGGGCTTTGTTTCTTCAGAAATGAGGGGGAGCTTTATTTTATTCAAAAGTTACTCAACTAAAAAAAAAGACTGGAGGGCTCAGGCAGCCTTCTGCTCAGACCCCTTGTCAGCGGGCGGTGGCAGCTGTGAACAAGCGCAAGTTGACTGGTGGACTCACCACAGCAGAGATGTTTTCAAGGTAATGTTCATATGTGAAGCCATCTTGCATGTAGGTGGTGGCCAGAATTTCTAGGACTGAGGACAGAGAGTAAAGCAGGACGGCGAGACAGTGGTAGGCTGCTTCCTGCAAGGCCAGTAAGGGTTGTCAGAGAGATCAGGAGCCCAGACATGTAGACTTGGGGCAGCTGTGGTCCCAGCAGGGCCTGTCCACCCCATCCATCCCTGCCTGGCATGGCTCAGGTCCCTTGGTCATCTTCTGCTACTTCCTTTGACTCCCCCACCCCATCCACCCATCACCACATCCCCACCCCCCTCCTCACAGGGGTCCTTTGTCCAGCTGAGTTTTGTCTCACTGGTTTGGGGGCAGAGTAAGGACTTCAGTGGAGAAGGGACGCTGCTTTCCCTTGAGGGGGGATCAAGTGAGGGGGCAGCTTGTGATTGAATAGGTAGAAACTGGTTCTGGGCCTGAGGAGTGTCATCCATGGTCACAGTCCTGGTTCAGATGTGGCCTCGGTGACCAGTGCAGGTGAGAGAGGCCCAGGCCATTTCCGTGTTGTTTTGTTGTTGTTCATTTTTTCGGGGGGTGAGGCAGGGGGATCCAGGTATGTTTACAAGCAAAAAGTACTAGAATGGGGTTTTGAGTAGCTGTAAATTGGAGGTGATTTCACAAGTCTAAGTAGGAGACCTGTTGAGAGTGAGAGGCCTGGCCAAATGGCCCCCACCCCTTCCAGGGGACATAAGGGGCAGAGGTCCATGAGTAAGTTTCACCCTCTTCATGGGCCTCAAGAGAGAATTTATATGGAAAAGAGACCACAGGCCATCTCTCTCCCCCACCAAGCCCCTCTCTGGTGACCCGGCTTTAGAAGGCTGTGACTGGGAGCTGGGCAGTAAACAGGGCCTCACACGGGCAGCCAAGGCCAGTCCCCACGACCCTGCTCCCCTGAGATGGAACCCAGCCCTCCTGGACGATAGGAGGTGCCAACAGGCCCTGGCAGGTGCAGGTGGGATGGGAGTGGGGTTGGGCTGCTGGTTACCCATGAAAAGGCCGTCCTGCAGGAGGAGGCAGAGCAGCCCCAATGGGATCAGACAGCGACAGCCACCCTCTGCCCTCACCTCCTCCTGACCTTGCTGCAGGAGCCCTGGGCTGCTGTGCACTCGGAGCTGAAGGCTGGTCAGCCCAGCCTTGGAACACGTGTGGGAGACATCTACAGCCTCACCCAGCGCTGGAGAAGCCAGCCTCCCAGGGGAGAGAGTCCAATACTACCCCCCTTCAAACATCCAGGAATGCAACTCACCAGCGAGACCCAGGAAGCCTCACCACCGTGGGCGCCAGTTAGGTAGAGGAGGAGCAGGGCAGTGGTGCCTATGAAGCAGAACATAGACACGAACACCACCCAGCCCTGGACGAGAGGATGGGGCAACTGGGATGAGGTGACCATCATCCACACCAGGCCCCCAAAGACCTGCAGAGGGAAGGAGGGCAGGGGTGAGCACTGGACCAGGAGAGCCCACGCCCAGGAAGGGCCAGAACCAGAGGTCACGCTGGGGCACGAGGGGCAGAAAACAGGAAGGAGGCAGAGAACAGTGGTGGGCATTTTCCTCACCAAAAATGACTCTTTCATCCCCCAAGGCTCTATCCTGGATCTCCAATCTCAGTCTTTCCCAATCCTCTGCTTGCTTGCCTTTATTCACTTTTTAAATACATTTTAATTTTTTTATTTAATGAGCACTTAGATCACATTTATATGCCAGGCACTGACCTAAGCACTTTACAAACATTAACTCATTTAATCCTCACACAACCCTATGAGCAAGGTACTGACCCATTTGTCAGATGGGGAAATTCAGGCATGTGAAAGTTAAGTAATTCATCTTCCCAAGAAAGGACTTATGCCATCCAGTATTATCATTAGGAGGGCTAATTCTGTGATTATATGCTTCCTAGTATTTTTGATGTAAAAATATCCTTTCTTTTATGAAATGGTAGTGACCAAAAGATTCTTTTGGTCTTTATTGGCAAAATAAAGTTGGCACACTATGTCACTAGCACATTTTTTAAAAATTTGATACCTTAAGTCCCCACATCAAAGAAGTGCTCTGAGTGCTGGAGCTGGGGCTGAAGAGAGGGCCCAGGTCAGCCCCGTCTCCTCGGGTGGCCGAGGATGCGCATGAGAGAAGCACTTCCCCTTCATTACCCAGAAGACACCCCAGTTGATGCTCACAGGGTCAGTGAGCCCCAATCAATGCTGAGTGTAGCGACAGATGTGGGGTCATAATACCCCTCAGTGCCACAGTCCCGCTCCCCCTGTGGACAAGCACACCCCAAGCTGGGATTCTCTGCACTTCTCTCCCCTTCTCCTTGTCCCTCTTCATCCCAGTGACATCAGCTCAGCCTCATCCACTGTCCCCACCCGGATAAGGACTGTGCTGGGAGTGGGCTGGGACATGGCTGGAGATGGCTTTGCAGTCAGAGGTTCCAAGGTACTGTGACCCTTGGTATCATCCTCCTGAGCATCTGGGGCCTGAGGACGGGCTGCCCCCCCAGTCCTACATCCCTGTGGTGTGAACTCAAGTGGTACCTTGTCCTCGTCTCCTGTACCCGCTGCCCACCTGCTGGGTGAGAGGTACCACTGTCCTCACAGGTGTTCTCCGAGCCTGTGAGCTGAGAAGCATCAGGAGAGAATCACATCTGGGTAGAAAAGTCAGTGCAATGAAGAATCTGGAGTTATCAAAACCAAGTTCAGCCTCATGAATCAGATCTGGGCATCTCTGACCAGAAGACTCCTTCTACTGATGAATCTGAGATTGCCTGAAGGAAGGCACGTGACAGAGTCAGTGGGACACTATTTACACCCTATAGCAATTCGAGCTAAATCAGCTAAATACAAATTTAAATACAAATCCTCAGACTGCCATAGACTAAGATGTGTGTGTCGATCTCATCCATAGTCGCCTTTATGATCAAACAGATTACTTGGCCTTTTCTATAACGGGCACTGACAAGGGACATGAGCGTGCTGATGGCTGAGATGGACTTGGATTTAGGAGGCAGCAGAGTGTGGCATGGAGAAGAGGGAGGATTGCATGCCCATCTCGTGGTCAGAGGTAAGGGCCTGGGACACAATTCTCCTAAGTGCCCTTTGCCTGGTCAACCAGTGACCATCCAAAGAGGACCAATCTGAGTTAGGTCCCTGTTCACATGCTCTCAGGGAGCCCTGTATTCTCCTTTGCAGCATTCAGCACAAGACAGGTGTATCTGGTTAGTTACAAAATGGCACTGCCCCTGACCAGGTGAGGGAGGGGGTGAGGGTCCCCCTGCTCATGGCTGATCTGGGGTGTGGGACACAGGGAAGGCGTGTCCAGCGTGTGTCAGTGTCCGAGTTAGTTACCTGGCCCTCAGGGTCTACTTGAGAGGGCTGTGCCTAAACACGCGACTGATGGACCAAATCCCAAAGGAACAGCTGGCCTTGCACGTGGAGGGGGGAGCCCTCCGTTATGGAATCCCATGTGGGACTCAGCAGACCCAACGCACTTGTCTGTGGCCAATGGATATAGCATTGAGGGACACTGAATGCCACATCAGGAAAATGGTTCTCTTTGTCACTGTCTTCAGTTTTTCTGACTAAGGCAGGGAGAAGGGCTCAGGTGGAGCCAGGTGTCTGGACTCCCCTAGAACAGGAGCTCCAAGAATGGGCAGGCAAAGGTGATCTGGAGAAGGGCATGGTTTTATTTTTAAGGTAATAATACAGTTATTTTAGAAAAAAATTAACTGTAGAACACATAGGAGGTAAATGAATGCACAGGTGGTGCCTGAAAATGGTAAAATCTGAGAAGGCGGCTCTCAGAGCCTGGTCTGCAAACTCAGCTCACTGCACCTCCTTCAGCTCGATTCCTCCCGTGTGGCTCGGTCAGGAACCAAAGACAGGAAAAGTGAGGGGAAGTCAGAGCAGTCACCACACTGAGTGTCGCCACGGAGTCCTGACTGTGCACTAGCGAGCGTGACCCCAGCTCTGGGCTGAGCTTCCAGCACCCAGTGCAGAGGGAAGCTTCCAGGTCAATCCCGACTCTCCACTTGCTGTGGGCGTGTGCTCTCACAGTGTGATGAAGACTGTGTGCCAGCTCCCTAGGAATGCTCGCTCTCTCTCTCTCACACACACACAAACACACACACACACACACACACACTCTTATGCAGCTTCCCGGGGTCTATGGAAGAATCTCTGTCCACAGGAACAAAGCCCCCCTGTGCCCCATCCCAGCCCTGACCCCTGGTACCTCAGGACTCTGTCACCCATCTGGATGGACCACCTTGCAAAGGTCCTTTTAAAAATCATGCTGAATTTTCTTCTTTGTATGGTTTATCTATAGCACTAAGTTTCATAGTAAGATGGTGGGGAGAAATTCTCTCTCTTTTAGACAGCTTTAATGAGAGATAATTCACATACTACACAGCTCACCCATTTAAAGTGTACAATTCAATGTTTTTAGGATATTCACAGTCACGTATAAACATCACCTCTAGAGCCAATTTAGGACATTCTCATCACCTCAAAAGAAACCCTGTGCCCTTTAGCTATGGGTCCCCTCCCCTCCCATCCCTAAGGGACCACTGATCTACTTCCTGTCTCTATAGATCCTCCTGTTCTCAACTTTCACATGAGCAGAATCACATAATAAAAGGTGGACTTGGGTGACGAGCTTCTTTCATTTAGCGTAACGTCTTTCAAGGTGAGAAATTCTCCCTCACAGGGATTTTTATAAACTATCTCTACCCTCACAGCACACCCCATCAGCCATTCTGACCCACCATTTGGGGACACTGAGTGAATGTGTCTCATCTCTCTGGAGCCTCCAACAGGAATGAGCTGAGGAACCTCTGGTGCCAGGGACGTTCTCATAGGAAACATGCCACCAGGCCCCATCTGTCCCAGAAACATATTTTAAGTGACACATCATGTGAAAGGAATGTCCTCAGCACAGATGAAATAAAATTACACCCGGGGGGTTTACACCCAGGAGATGGGCAGTCGGCCTGCCCTCTACCCCTCGCAGCCCTGTCCAGCAGGTGCCCAGGGGAGAAATGCAGGGTGACCTGCACAGGGGACCATCTGGGAGAGGGGTTGAGGTGGGTGCAGAATAACCCTAAGAGAGGACGGGAGGAGAAGGAAAAAGACGAGGCTGAGAATAGAGAGAGTCTGTTCCCCGCTAGACGTCTGTGACAGTGCCCTGGACACAGACCCCGCTGCTGTGAGAATTCCAGTGCAGATGCGTGTCGGAAGGGGTAACGGCTGTGACGGCTGTGCACGTGTGCAGGCTCCACTCCTCCCGGCACATGCCAGCCCCCGCAGCACCTGCACCACACAGCGTCTGCACAGGCCGGGGGCACACGTGAACCCTTGAGAGGGGCTCTCCACCGAATGTACTGGAGGAGGCTGGAGCATGTGACTCGGCCACTTGGGCCTCGGCTCCCTCATCTGTAAATGGCAATTTGCAGCTGTCTCCCCACATCGCGGGCTGGTGCAAACTGGCTGAAACTGTGGATGTGAGTGTGAAGCTTCTGGCACCATGCCCAGCACCACCCAACAACTGGGGTTAGACACTGCCCACCCAGGAGGTGACAGCCCCGAGGAGACAGACGCAGAGGCAGCCAGTTACAATGCAGGATGATCTCCAGCCCCGAGGGGGCAAAGCAGCCTGGACTGGGTCACGGCCCCATCGGGTCTTGAGGGGAGAGGTGGCCGTAGCTGGTTGACCTGGCCAAAGGGTCAGGAAGAAGCTCTCCGGGGGAGGAGGGAGTACACGCCGCGTCCAGAGGAGCTGAAGCACAGTGAGGGCTCAGACGGCCAGGGAGCCGCGCACGAGGTGGGGGACAAGGAGCGGCAGAAGATGGGGCCGAAGGAGGGAGAGCTGGAGACAGCACTGGCCGTGGGGCCGGTGTGAAGGCCTCCGAGGCCCCGCTCAGGGGAAAGCCGGGACTCAGCGTGAATCGTGGACACAGCCCGTGCCTGCCGTGCTCCCCCACTCAGTGTGCAGAGAGCAGCAGAGCGCGGGCGCTGCGCCCACCCCCGGGAGAGAAGGCCTCCTGGGCAGGGAGCATCCACCCATCCTGGCCTCAGGACCCCACTGGACAGATATTGTCAAGAGCAAAGGGGTAGGTGAGGGTCAAGCATTTCCCTTCGTACAGAAAACTCTAAGCGGCTCCACTTTCCAGGTGACAGATGCTCAGAGGCGACTGTCTTGACAACCTTACGCACACACACGGCCTCAGTTTGCCTTCATCTCTGTCTACAGTACAGGCCAGACTTCCCACCACCCCCACCTGTCCCCGGGTCACCGTCCTCCACACCACAGAGGGCACAGCTGGCTAGGGTGGTCTCAGACAAAGGTCTCTAAGTCAGGTGGCCCTAGTGTCACCAGGGTTGAGCTCTCTCTCTGGGCCCCAGGTCCCCAGGCTAGGAAATGGGGGTGGGGCCTGGGCTAACGCTCTGTGGCTCTCAGGCCTCAGTCTACACCAAGATCACCTGAGACACCTGGAGAAACACCAGTGCCCAGGTCTCTGGCCCAGGGTCTGACTAGACAGGAGAGAAGCAGAGTCACAGGACAAGGGACAGACCGCCCGGCCTCTTTGCCAAAGGCCTGGGAATGTGTTTCCACAACACGAGCCTGTGGATGATGTTCTGTTAACTCCCGTCAGACAGCAGAAGAAACACCTGCTGTCTCCATGCCCTGCCTGGCTCT